TTTGGAAATGTATTTTTTATGGCAACGTCACTACCTTGCTTCCTACCCAAACAGATGTCACTGGGTTTCTATCGCTACACCTTCCGTCTTCATTTCTGTTGACACTATTTGTATTGAGTCACACAGGTTTAACTCAGCACGACCGAGTCTGAGCACATCTGTGATCTCGCAAGCGTGCAGTGTATCGGCAGCTTGGTTTCAAATTCCATCTTGGGTGCGAACAACCCACTGGAGCGGGACAGATATGGTGCAGTGAGCCAGAATCCCATCTAGATTTGGGGATGATTATTCACCTAGGTAAGCCTTTATGTTTGTATTGTTCTTTTTAAATGGAGCTCAACATGTAAAAAGACACTGGAAAACATGCAGAAACCCCCCCCTAAAAGTTAACATCAGTAAACATGTAGAATACTTTTGGACTATTATTTTGGCATTACCACTAGCTAGTGTAAACGCAGCTGTTTCATTTATTATCGGTATTATCGGCCAAAGAAGTACTCGTGAGAAAAGGAATAACATGTGAAAAGTCACACGATTATAAACATGCAGCTCACCCTCCTGCCTGCTGTTGACAAAGTCATTTTCATGTTGGCTGATGTAACAGCAGCATCACCGTCAGCAGGATATGTCAAAGTATGTGTTTGTACCAAAAACAGGCCGAGAGAGGAACGGAGGCGTCTACCTTTGAAAAACGAGGGCAGCGAGGGTTTGTTTTTAAGCTGTCATTTGCACTTACGGAATTTCTCTTGATTTTTTTTTGCCAACTTTTAGTTGACAACAGTGGCGTTCTACTTACTTTGACAAGTTACGTCAGTTTGTTGCTTTGACGGAATCTTCACACTAAAATGGACGTAATTCAGAGTTGCAGAGCTTCCTAACGCAGCGAGCGAACGTCCCCTGAAGTTATCCATCATCATGACAACGTAACGTACTCTTGTGCCAGGGTCCACACAGCTGACCAGAGGCCCTTTCTTTGACATTTGCCAACTGGCAAATCCATGCCAGTTGAAACTGACTCCAAGTCAGCCTTAAAAAACAGACCTAACCCACTCCAAAGAAATGTGGTGAACCATGTTGCACTACACTTTTAATAATGTAGTGAATGAAAACTTAAACGGAAGCACCAACTGTGATGAAGAAATACCTGAGAAGACAGAGATTTGATAATAGTGCTGTGTCACGGTTACCACGAGCTCCCTGGACAGCACATCATTGTTTCCTCTGCTGACATTTGTTGAACTGATTGGCGCTCGGAATAACGATTAGCACGGGATTGCATCTCCACGGATGCATGACAGCTGAGCAATGCTGTTGCGTTGCTGTTCCATTGCTAAAAGGTTACAACCTGTCATCTACCAAAGGAACGAACAAGTCTTGAAGAATCACCAAATGGAAATCGACTTTTCAAAACTCCATTCCAGCATATTTATTTTGTTTTTATGGAGTTTGGTCTCAGTGGCCAGGAGGCTTCTTTGTTCCTCTAGAGACAATAAGCTGGTGTTGAACTGTTGATGGTGTACCTCATTACTGCAGCTTGGTGCCTCTCTGTGGACTGATTAAGGATTAAGCACATTTGAGAGTACCAGCACGTACATGCTGCGTCCTTCTTGTTTCATTATCCATGCAGAGCTCCTTCATCTATAGCTTACTGTATATGCATGCAGAACACCAGTGGGACTGTCAACACTTGCTTTGTGTAGTAGAATCCAGCAAAAAAAATGTATTCTGCACCAGTCCACCACAAGTGCAGCTGCAGACTTTTTCTCATCCTTCTCCTTAAAAGTTAATAGGTAGAACTTGTTAAAAATAGAAAACAAACCAAAATCTTTCATCGGGCTGCTGGCCAGACTTATTTCTTTAGCTAAACTCTGAGATAATGATGTCTGAAGCTCTCAGTAGTGGAGCAGCAGAGAGAAGATTATACAGCAAGTATGCACAAAATGTAACACCTCGAAAATGTATATATTCTACTGTCAGTAACGAGTCGAAGATAGGATGATTATTTTCCAAATAAATTGCCCAAATACCCACATATGTTACTGCCGAAGAACATTTTTGATAAAATATGGTACTTATAATGGTCATTGCACTTTCATATGTCCTGTTTTGACTAACGAGTTCATGAAGAAGCCCTCAAATCCACCGTGTAAGCTCCTGTTGATCAGCTGCCCACATTAAAAACGTTCCCGTAAACTGTGTTTTTGGACAGAAATGACCAAAAACAAAACCCTGTTGTGTACATATTTTTGAACAAACCTATGTGATATATTTTGTAAATTCAGAGTACATGTTTGTCTTCTTGTGATTCGTTTGGAAGGTCGCTCAGTTTCAGTTTCTCATTACTGGCAGTTTATGATGGTCAATTTGTGGTACAATTTATTTGTTTATTTCAGTGGTATTGAAGAGGTACATCAGCTTAAAATAAAAACTCTTTTGAGGCAGTATTTAAAGCACCTTTGGGAGAGATTTGAGTATTTCAGTACATATTGTATAGACTTGGTACCTCATGATTTAACGTATCATTCTGCAGATGTAGTCACGGTTGGTATTGGCTGTGATGTTGCTCAGCTGTTATCAGTGATTCCGTCTGTAAATTTAGATACAAGTTGTGGAGTCACTCTTATCCTAAACCCATCCTGTTGTTTGGAGTAGTAGTACTTAACGTAAGGGCCTCCTCATATCGAATGTCTCACTTCTCCCCTTGACACAAAAAAACGCAGCCGCCCAGTGATGCTGCCATGCTGTGGGATGGATATGTTATATGTTATATGCATGATAGGATTCTGGCTCCTGTTTGATAATGATATGCATTATGTCTGTAGAGTACAATTTGGGGGTTTTCATCAGACTTCCAAATGTGTTTTCCCCCCTGCATTCTTTTATGTAACTCGGGCCCTATTACAGACCTTTAGACACAGAGAATGTGAGAGTGACCCTTCTTTTTAATGACGGATGATGACATTTTTCAGATGTGTGATGTTATTTACTGATTTAATGGGGTTGTAAACATTTTGGTTATTTAATACCTCCCTCAAATTCTACTTGTGTTTTTTAATGATATAGACATTTCTTTGGTCAAGTTTACACACTTTTTTGGGACTTTTAATTGTCCTTATGTGTAGCCACTCAACTTGAGTCTTTTCAAGGATATCAAAGGTATTTTGACACAGTTGTGTGTCGTGTTAAAGGCTGTGTAAGAATTTTTATATCTTAAAGCTGAATAAAATAAACACTCACTCACAGTACTCCCAGTGCAGATAATATTGGGTATGATATGGGGACGTTCTGCGTCTCTTGATGCAAAGAAAAAATAATAAAAATAGCAGATAACAAAAAAGGTTGAAATTGGCACTTTTCACTAGAAACTTATTTTCCAAGTAAATGATGTGAGATCTGTTCTGAGTAACTGGGAAACTCGTCCAAAAAGATGACTTTCATTGGTGTTGGGGCTGCAGTATCAGTGGTGGAGATCACACAAACGCAGCAAATAATTAGGGCTGTCAGTAGATTAGAACAGAGGTCTTCAACAGGGGTCCGCGGAGGTACTGCAGGGGGTCACAAAATTTTGGGTTGATGAGACAATTTTTTATTTTTAATTTAAAAAAAAATTTCAACCAATTATTTTTTTTTGTCTTCAGAATCAGAATTGTATTTATTGTCTTTAAATACACATTAACATGAATCCAACATATTGTAGCGAACGCATAAATTGATTGAAGTCTTATCTTTCAGTCCGCAGCGCACACATTCAGCTACACACAGCAGCTCTCTCAAGCTGCACACCAGTTCACTCACAGCACCTTGCATGCAAACACGACATCATAGGCACCAGCCAATCAGATTGCGTTAGCGCAAAGCTCAAAAATAAAAGATGGCGAAACCAAACTCCGTAGAATGAGGGGTCCCTGCTCCATCTCGCCATCATGAAAAACGTTGAAGACCCCTAGATTAGAAGGTTAGTGTGCACCCCTGTGTCTGTACGTGCAAACTACACAATACTGTTGGTTTCCAGCGGTGGCTGAATGCTCAAGGACCTGTAATGTTGGGGATGACTCACACCTTTTACTACTTGTTTCACGCGGCCATTGGCTCCTCAGTCTCTACGAGCCCCTCAGCCGGTGGGGGGCCGTTTCAGTTAACGCCGCTGAGTGCGTCAATGGCACCCTGCAGCCACTCTGTCGCCAGAAACCCACCGGGTGAAAACAGTTGCCTTTTGTACATTATGTTTGATTAGCTGCTAACAACACATACACGCACGTCCTTTTTTTGCACAATTGTGTGATGTGTTTTTTACGACAACTTCTGCTTATGAGTTAAGTGCGTTTCGCGATGCCCTACAGCCCACTGCTGTCTGGAAGGGTCAGAGTCAGCCGAGTGACTTGTGTTCATTCAGCAGAGGTTGTTGCAGATTCACCTTTGAGGATCTGCACTCAACGGAGTTCCTTATTTTGATCTTACACAAGCGAGCACTGAAGCACACTCTCACTTATTTGAAAAAGTGTCTAAAATAGGTCCTATGATTATACTTGGAAATTGGTCAACATAGTTTTTTACTTTTTGTTGTAATTGCTCCAAATGACCCCCGACAAATCCTTCAATGCAGTTGTCAAGATGTTTTTGGCTGCTGTTATAGTCTTCACAATCTCTAGAAGCAGGAATATATTTTATGAATGCGCCACCATTCATTTGATGTTTGTCACACTGATGTACATGAGCTCAGTTGCCATCACTACAGTACTTTGAACTGATATGTACTGAAAATCCTCCATTAGTGGTATGCAGCGCTACATCAACGTTCCTCTCTGTTTCACACGAAAGCAGGTTGCCGACAAATATTATCCATCCCAACTTGTTACGATCTGTCCCTCTTTGATAGTTTTGTTGATTAGAGTCCCCAAATCACAGGAGAGTCATATCTAAGGCTTCAAAAGTCTTTTGAAAAACCAAAACCTGACGGCAGTTATGAGTGTAAAAAAAAAAAACTTCTCTGTCTCCCTCAGGTGAGCACCTGCGTGTCTGTCCACAGGGACACACCTGCTGCACATCCGAGATGGAGGACAAACTCAACCAGGAGAGCAAAGTGGAGTTTGAGAACTTGGTCGAGGAAAGCAGCCGCAATATGAGGACAACATTTTTTTCAAGACATAAGAAGTTTGACGGTAAGATACATATATTCTTTCTTTTGCCTCATATCACCATCTATCTCATGAAAGGTATCACAAGTCCAGGTATCCCTTCTGTTTTTTAACACAGACTGCTTTTTCTGAATGACTGATGGAGCGTTGCACAATGTGATGCTGCTTTGTGTGACTTCTCCCAAAGGGGACAACAGGACAGCACTAATGTGGCTCTGTGGTGCAATACATGTTATAGCCATTATGTGTGCTTGGAAGCAAAGTTGTCTGTGTAAGTAAAGCCACGATGCACAGTGCTATTCCCAAAATGAACAAGTTCTCACAGGAAACACTAACTAATGCGATGTTTGCATGTTACACATTCTTAATATAAAGGTGACAAAATTGGATCTTGTAGAATTCAGTCTTTGGTGAGAAACTTGAAAAGAGGTGTTTTTACAGCAGTAACAGTAGGCGAACAGTAGCAGCCAACAATAAATAATACAAACTAATTAACTTCATGAAAATTAGGTTTTTTGGGGCGGTGATGAAAAATATATATTTGCATACCAGCTGCTGCAAAGAAATAGCAAAGCACAGTGAACACCAAATTTGTCTTATATGCTGTTTAAAGAAGATCAGTGAATTGCAGCCATGACTCCATGTAGCAGAAAAATCAATGAGCCTTTTTTGTATCTCAGACATCTGTAATGTGAGGTAATATCTATGTGCAGATGGTAGACGATTATGCAGGGCTTCAATATGAAAAACGGACACTAATAAATGTAGAATTGGGAAAATGTCTTTGTCCTTGGCAAACTGCATGTCAAAAATCCACTCCCTTTTCTCTCTTTGTGTGATATCAAACTGAGAAATGACTATCTCTCCACCAGAAAGAATACAGCTGGAATAAGAGATATGAGCGGTTCGCCTGGCCAGAAACACTCAAGAATAGTTACTTCCAAGTATTTCATTTCTCACTGTTGAAATATCCATCTGTCAGGTTGGCAATCAACTGAGGAAAACACCTGCATGTCCCTGCTAGAGCCGAACTCAATTGCTTTTGTTTTAAATTAGAATATCAGTTGTTCATTTATATATAATATAAGAGAGGGTTTTGATTGCTTCAGTGAGCAATCAAAATAATATAATATACCTTACTCCAGAGTATATGACAAAAGCTGCATTTGAATCACAAACAGCACAGTTATTTCCATTCATTTTCGTGGTGAATGTAATGCATGAATTTACACATAAAATTCAGAATGAGGTATGTCAGAAGCATTGATTTGGAAAGTTATTTAAAGTAAGTTCTATTAAAAAAAGAGAGATGTTGAAGGTGGGCATCACTGGTCTCACTCCTATGCATGCAATGTTGCTAGAGATGCCCCGAGCCAACGCCAAGGCTCATCCGATACCTGCTGGAGTAAAGCCAATCAAATTCTGATCCTTCCTCGAACCTTTTCCACATCCGCTCACTGGTGTAGTAACACTGCTCTCCATTACTGTATTTCATCCAACTGTAAAATCATTTACTGCATATGCAAGGGGAAAAGGAGAGCCTGTGAATGTTAAATATTAGAGATGCTGAGCAAAATGCTAACCAATTTTCTCTTTAGGAAGGAGCAGTATACAGGCTGCACTATATATATATATATATATATTACACAGTATACATTATATGTGTGTATACAGTGCAGCCTGTTACTTTCACAGTTGTTATGTTGTTGGGTTGCAACAGTTGTCTTCACCGGACACATGATGGTTTGTTTGGAAAGAAGCTCCACTCCGTAACGGCACCCTGAGTGTTTCTGTAGTTCACACAACTCCAACAAACTGATGCGTCTTCTCTCTAGCTGATTGTGCCACAACAATTTTATTCACATTGGACAATAAAACTTTCATTCACATGGTATTATTAATTTAAGGTTCAAAGATTAATATTTTAGAAGCAGGCTCTTCAGCATTTGGATAGAGAAGCAGAGCAGAGCAGAACTCCTGCAGAAGAGGCAGAAGTTCAAGCCCACCATCTTTTACATTTCTGAAAGATTGTGTTGGAGTTTCGTGGTCATTCCAACCCATATGTTTCAGTTTCTAAAGTCATATTTCTGTATGTGCTCTGTCTCTCACTTGAACTAAGTTGGAATGAATTCAGAAACAATTGTAGCGCGCTGCCCATCAGACACATGGGATAAGTGGCAACAAAATATAAATATACAGAATATAATCACAGTTTATACAAACACATGAAACATATTTCATGCCATACACAGAATTAGGAAGATGGTTCTGCTCCTCTTTGAAACTTGAAACCTTGAAAGTTGCCTCAAGAATAATGTCCATACATCTGAGCTGTTGTGTGACACGGGTGACACGGGTGACACAAATCACTTGTGCAATTTCCTCTTTTGTCACATGTCCATATCGCCGGGCCACTCAACGTCGCATTCCTTCTCCTTGTGTTAAGCTGCCTCCACCTCGTGGGGTTTGAATCATCCCTCATCAATTTTACATGCCCTCATTTCTGTCCCCAGTTATTTATAGGGCCCTATTATGAAAACTGTAACTTACTTTTTGATTACTGACTGCTTCCCCTGGAGGCTTGTGGACTTTAATGCATTATTGAGCAATCCTGAAGCCATAAACGACTGTTGCACACTGGAATTAAGGTTTGGGTTTTCTGAATGTCCAATCATTTGGGAAAGAAATCCCCCCCACCCCCCTTATCTCCCAGTGCCTTATATTCTCATATAGAGACATGGCGGGCGGACATATTACAGCCCAACTGACGGACAGTATAGGGAAAGAAACTCACAATCCAACGCAGCAGTGAATTAAGGAGAACCAAAAAATATAAATATTTACAATATTTATGTGTGTGAGATAGAAAGTAGTAGTAGTGTAGAAAGCAGTGTTAAGTAACATGACGCCGCGGTTGTCTCTCTCTCTCTCTCTCTCTCTCTCTTGTGCTGCTTGTTGTGGAACTGTTAAATGTTAACTTCAATTATTCATTTTTGAGTGGTGGGATTGATATCTAACAGCATTACTTAGTTGTAATGTATATATGTCATGTATATTACAACTTCATTCAAAATGGCTCCAATTCCATTAAATCGGATTAATCAAATCTCAACGTAGTTCCCCTCCCAAATAGATTGTGTGAATGTTTTCAAATACTAATGTCCTCTCAAATAATGAGGAATAAGGGAACTAAAGTTATCCCCCTCACAACAGATCCATACATATTTTATTGTGTTCCTTTTCTTAGCTAGAAGCCACAATATTCTGACTTACATAAGGGGATTATTTAAATATATTTTGTTTTATAGTTGGGCTTTACATATATTTAAGTTTCTTGTTCAGCATTTCATACATCTCTGCAATTTAGTATATTTAAAGTCTTTGACCACCAGCTTTAGGTGGGTGTAAATTTCAGAGGTTAATAGACTGAGTTGTAGAGGAGTCTGACTCAATTATTTCTCCCAAGAATTAGGCTTTCTGTTTGTTCTTTTTGTACGGTAGATGCTCATTAGGTTCAGTTTGGTTGATGCTTTTCTATGGAGACCCAGCAGAGATTAGTGTGTGTGGTTGGTTGACTAAAGTCTGGGTTGAGCAGCAGCCTTGGATGACTGAGCTCTTTGATCCTGCCCCAGTAGAGCTTCTCCACTCAACGTGGAGAGCCGCAGCGCCCCTCTCTCACTTCACCGATCCCCATTAACACCGGACTGAACCTCAGACATAAACACCCCACGCTCTCTAAGCTGCAGCTCCCAGTGGACTGTGTAGGGCGACAGATAATGCCAAAAACTCAACCCCAGTTATTGCATTTCACAGAATTATTCTATATCTGTAACATTTTAAATTATTTGTTATTTGGAAATGTCAGTTAACCCTGTAAAGCCCGACACATCCAATTATATTTAGAAATAAATAATAAATCACGGGCAACCTAGCATTTAAAAATCAATCCAATTAACCTCATTAACACCACCGGGGGAAACGTTACCTAACCCTAACCCTATACCCACATTAACAATTTGCTGTGGGTGGTGAGTGATGAAATACTTTTTATTTTGCATATCTTTGTAACGTACCAAACCTTGGAGCTTCAGCTTTGTGGAGGCTTCTGGTTGGTGCAGAGGGCAAGCCAATATAACCATATTTACTTTATCACAAGAGCCCTTCAAATAAAGATTAATTAAGCACTATAATTCAACTACAGACCTTCTGTTACATGTAATTTAGTCTGCATTACAGTCAAATAATGGAGTAAGTCTTATTTTGGATGGAGTAAGTATAATTTTAAGGCTTGGAAAAACCTTAAATTGGGTTAGGGTAGGAGATAAATACACATTATTTATTGAATAAAATCATTGTATTATAAATGCTTCCGATCTAAATGTCCAGTAGGTGAAGCAGACTTTTTTTTAGACGAAAATATTGACTGAAACCAAGACACCTAAAACCAGTTCTGCTCCTACATACAGTAGCTCTCTCAATTAGACCTCTGGTAATCTACTAACGTCCGCGGACATCACAAACTCTTGTATGTATTATTAATGTTCAACATTCATTGAAGTACTTAACAAGTTAAATTTGGAAAATTCCCACACTTCATTGATGACATCAAGCAGTTACATCAAAACAGGACCTCAAAGCTTCTCATTATTCTGTACTTGCCCCGGTACAGCTCTGAAGTTATAGACTACTGTAGAATTATAATTACAAATTTTGTCATAACAAGCATTATAATACTCAAAAGAAAATTAATCATTTTCCTTTTCTCAAAATATTGATAAATCATTCTTAATATACTCAGTGTCACAATTTAAATCTGTTTAGCGTCTGCAAACTTGAATGATAACATTAGCACATTTAATTACGCCGTGCAGAAACTCCTCTTCTACAGACTGAGTTTGTGGACTGATTTGTAATTCCCATTATCCTTTGTGCATATTATAATAGGCAACATTATTAATTTATAGTATGAATAAATTGAATAAAGAGGTTACACTTGCTACCCAGTGCAAGATTCTGATGAGATT